TCTTGTTTGGGATTCTCGGACCGCTTCCTTGTCTCTCTCCAGAGGCGTTGCTGCGGCTGTGGTCCCACCGTCGGCTGTTTCTGAGGGTGTCCCTGGTCACTCGGCGGTTGCCCGAGCAGTTGTGTGGGAGTCTGAACTTCGCCGTTCTGGCTTTGGTGTCTGTTTTGGTTCCTTCGGGGACGCCCCTTCCGCCTCTCTCGCGATCGTTGGGTTCGTCCTCCGGGGGCCTTGTGTCGGTTGCTGCGTCGCCGACTTCCTCTTCAGGGTTTTCGGGGTTTCAGTTGGGTTTGGGCTTCGGAGGGTATGGGTCGCTCGGGGTTCAACTATCTGGCTCCATTCGGACTGTTCTCCTGTGATTCATTGCCTGAACCGCGGGGTTCTCTTCGGTCCTTGCCTCTTTGGGGTTGGTCCCTTCTAGTGGTTCGTCTGCTGGATTCTCGGGGTTTGGCTCTCCGTGCGGTTCATATTCGGGGAGTGTCCAACATCCTGGCTGACAGCCTGTCTCGCTTCATTCCCCTGTCCAAGGAATAGACGGTCGACGACGACTCGTTTCGTTGGATTTGCCAGACGCACAGACTCCGGGACGTGGACCTCTTCGCATCGTAGTGATCTTGGCATCTCCCAGTGTATGTGATGCTCTTCCCCGACTGCGAGGCGTTCGTAGTGGATGCCTTTCAACAGGACTGGTCGAGGTGGAGTTACCTGTACCTCTTTTTCCCGTTAAAGCTGTTGCTTTGAGTTATGGCTCGGTTAGAGACCTTCCCCAGGGAAAGTAGTCCTTGTGGCCCCTTGGTGGTCGGCCCAGCCTTGGTTTCTGGCACTGTTTGCTCGGTGTCCGAACCCGGATTGTTTCTTGCGGCTCCACCTTTTTCAGCAGATCGGACTGGTCTGATACGGGGCTGATTCGACCTTCTCCTCTGCTCTTCGCGTCTGGTCTTTTTGACGTGGGTATATCATCATTTCTATAGTGGTCAGGTAGCTTCGTTGATGGTGTCTCACCTGAGAGCTACGTCTCGGTGACAGTATGAAGTTTCCTTGCATTCTTTTCACCATTTTCTTGCTCTTCGTAAGTTGTCTTCTCTTTCAGATCGGGTTGTCTTGTCCTTTCTATCATGGCTTTTTCAGGACCATCATTTGATGCCTAATACTGTCGCCTCGTATCATGCAGCACTGGCGGAGTCGCTCCAGCTTGCATTTGGGGTTGACATCACATCCGCCCTGTTCCGTAAGCTTTCTCGTGTTATGTTTCACCGCCAGCCTGCTCATGCGCCGCCTGAACCATCCTGGTCCTTGGATAGGGTACTCTCTTATCTTTCCTCTCCTCAGTTTATGGTGGCCTCTTCAGTCCAAGATTGTTTTTCCAAGGCCCTGTTTTTGTTGGCATTGACCTCTGGGGGTCGGGTAGAGGAGCTTCATGCTCTCCTCTGGTGCAGGGGTTTCTGCTCTTTTGGTCCTGGTGGTAGGTTTGTACATTTGCAGCCTTCTCCATTTTTTCTGGCGAAGAACGAGACGGCTGCTTTCCAGAGGGGTCCTTAGGTCATTGATGCTTGGTTAGTTTGGCCAGGGGGTGCATCATGTGTTGTATCCGGTTGCGGCTCTTCGCCGTTATCTGCGCGCCTCGGCTGGGGTTGCGCTTTGGGTTGATCCGGTTTCCCTCGTTTCCTGTTTCAGGGCTCGGGTCTCCTAGGTTGCCTGCAGGGTTATTAAGTCTAGCCAGCCTGCGGTCTATCCTCACGCCCATGACGTTCGGAATTTTGCAGCTTTGGCTGCCTTGTTTGGTAACATGTCTTGGGCTCATTTTTGGGCACCTGGATTTTGGAAATCGAACAGGGTCCTGGTCTCCCGTTATTTGGTGAACGTGCCTGCTCCTGGGCATTCTTGTGTGTCTTTGGGTCGCAGGTTGCAGCCAGTTGTCTCGACTTCGTGTTGAGGAGTTTGTGGCGGCCGCCTCTCGGTTAAGTCCCCATTTTCTTTCTCTTTGGGTATATAGCTCCAGGGAGCCATAGGGGCTCCCCACAGAAAACCAGCATTGAATGTAATGAAACACCATTTTCTGGGTGAGTCCCGAAGGCTCCCTGGCAACCCTCCCACCGGTCAGCATTTTTTTCACATTGGTTGAAGCTTAGCTTCCGAACTGGAGTGCTAGGCAGCCAGCGTGGTGAGGTCCAGGGCCCCCCTCCCCCTCTCGGGGAGGGGAGGGCTGCGTGGACGAGGGGCACGGCAATAAAGTGTGATGTTTGCTTCTTTCATTGAGATTGTAGGGAGTTTCTACCTCTGTTCAGTTTTTTGTTTTAGTTTCTTACCATGTGGGGCTTTTGTTATGCCTACCTTTCTGGGTGGCTTTTCCCGGTCGATGGCAGATAAGGAAAAACCCCAACCACAGGGGGATGGGTGGGGGGTTTCAGGGCTCCCTGAAACCTCCCTGAAGGGGCCAGGTTCCGGTTCTGGTCCCTGATAGGTCTGAACTCCATAGCTAATGTCCCGGTATAATGTAAAAGTACATTAGCCCGATAAGCTCCAGGGAGCCTCCGGGGCTCACCTAAAAAATGGCGTTTCATTACATTCAACGCTGGTTTTTTATTCATTGCTCATTTGTAGAGCCTTTTCATTGCATATATAACACCCATATCCATTGGCTGGATCAGAGAGGTAAGTATTTGGAGGTAAGGGCATGCATCTGATGTATCCATCACTTGACGTTAATGTGTCGAGCCCTACATGAGCCAAGAGATCATTCCGCCTCACTCCACACTTCTTTATCTAAAAATCTCTTAAGTCTTTGTAAAAATTATTTTTGAACCAATCTTCAAAAATGTCTCAAGTAAACCAAGCTGTTTTAGAGTTGTAGTAGACCACAGGTAGCTTGTTCATTAAATTTTCAAAGCACGTGGGTTTTTTGACTTCCCCACAATGGCGGACTTTGTTCTATACTTCCATCTGCATTCACACACAGCATGGCAGAAACTTTTTCTATGTTTACCTTTGTTTTGCCAGGAACACACTCATCTAGCTTAGATACCAAAGTGTTGTTCAGCAAGCATTTCCAATTAAAGCCTGTTTCATCGGCATTGTATTCCTGAAAATGCCATAGATCATTTGTTATTATGTAATCATTTAATTTACGCTTGAATGGCTTGACAGAATCCGTATCCGCACTTAATGATTCTCCACAAACATTCCTGTTCTTAATAATATGCCTATTCTTAGACCTTTGTAACCATTCTTCACTTGCTCAAAAATCTGAAATGTTCATCTTTCGTGCAAATTTATCTGTGACTGTCTTAATGGTGTTGCCACCAAATGACATATCCACAGAGAGCTCCTGGTTAAACCATTTATACACAGCTTCGTCTAATTTCGTATTTGTAGAAACTTTTTGTCATTTTCCTTTTATTTAATGCATCACTATCACTTGCAGCAAGGAACTTCAAATATTATCTTTCTGTCTCTTGATATCACACCCTGTACTTTTCCCAACATTAAATTCTGCTGCCAGCCTAGTGACAGAGTAGCCACGTTCATGTTTCTCTATTAAGTCTAATTTCTGCTCAACGATAAAAACTCCTCTTCCTCTTTGTAGATACAGCACGATTAGCAAGCTCCTGAGACAATATAATAATACAGCTGTAGGCAAAAAATGGTAAATTCCACAATTATTCTTCCACCGGCGGACAAACACATCACTCGCAGACAAAGCTAATGGCACTGGATGCCTACTGTATTAATGCAGACTAGGTCTATACACCCCACAGTAGGCTGGTGTTTAAGCGAGATCCAGTAACATAAATTTCTCTCAAATATTGGATTTCATCAAATTATATATTTTTGGGTTATATATTTAGTTTACTGTAGTAACATTATTAGGATAATAAGAGCAGTAAAAAACTTATTTTATAACTGATTTATGAATTTTATTATTTTGAGGCTGTAGGTCACTGAACTGTGGCAACGAAATCAAATGAAACACGCATGGTGCTGTGTTTATAAGGACTAGACCCATCCACTTGTGTTGTAGTTGTTCCTATAACAAATAATTTCTCACAATAGCAGATGTCTGTCAATTACAGTATATTTTTGGTTTTATTTAGTTTAGTTTAGTTTAATTAGGATATTAAAGAGATATTAAAACACTGATTTTAGAAATGATTTATTAATCTGAAACTTTCAGAGTCATGGGTCACTGAGCTATGACGACACAGATGAAGGAGAACCAAGTGAGGTTTACAGTACAGTATTCCCTTATCTGTCCACCCTCACTCATTTTGTTTCATCACAGAAAATGTCTATAAGGAGATTTCACCACATGTAGCTAACTAAGCACACTTCAGCCTTTAAATTAATATACAAAGATACATGTGCCACAAATTAGTGAACGAAAATCATGGAAACTCAGTCATTCACTTGTGTGGACCACTCTGGCTGGTGTTTGATTAATATGGTTTACTTATTGTGTGGTCCACTCGTATGATCCAACTTGTCATATGAAGGAATTATTAATTGTAACCTGTGATAGAATGAGAAAGTTTTCTATCATTCTGTTCCAACATCGTAAGCTTGTGGACCACTTGTGTGGACCACTTGTGTGGACCACTTGTATGGTCCACTTGTATGGTCCAACTTGTCATATGTTGGAATTATTAATTGTAACCTGTGATAGAATGGTTTTCTATCATGTCTATCCAGACATGTGGTTTTCCACCAGTCTGTGAACTGTCCCAACATTGTAAGCAAATCCGCACATTCTCCGCTTCGGCGAACCATTGTTCGTCGAACCGGGTGAGTAAATCCGGCCTGAAAAGTGCGCAACCTAGCCGGAGATTTGTAGAATCGAGGTTGTATTGAACTGTATATCAGACTTGAAATATGCTTACTCGTGTTTTACATTTATTGCCAATATTTATGTAAGATTTTTTTTTCTTAATTGTAGGTCAATTTGGGTTAATTTATGATTTTGTTTTTGGTCCTTTTTTTTGTTTATAAAATGAATTCTGTATATACAGTATTGTGTTGTAGCCATGGGGATAGCACGGTGCCTTGGATGTTTAGCACTCCACCGGAGCTCAATCATCAGCCCATATGGACATGTGGCAGTGTCTGGAACAGGACATCATGCAAATATTATACAACATTCCAGATCAGGTAAGTGTTTGTGCCTCAAATATATTTACCCATACAAAATAACTGGTCTTTTATCTTTATATAATCTTTACCAGAGAATAAGTTATGTATCTAAACTAGTCCCCTGCTATTGTTTGCCCACCTAGACCATAACACATCCGGTTCTGGAGTTCTGTCAACCTGCTACCTCACTACAACAAAAGATCTTTGCAAATGTTCCTACCATGTAAATTAAAGAGGGGAAGACATGCGAAAGAAGTCTATTCATCACCGAGTAACCAAATTGCTTTTTCTACAAAGTGAAAAGATAAATTCAATACCACCTGCAATCAAAACTGATTCATGTGGTAAACAAAGTGTTGCTGTGATAACTGTTGAATGGACCATTTGCTGCCCTTGAATACCACTAGATGGCAGCAATTTTTCCAAAGTAATGGGTATGGCAGAAGTCTTTACTCTCCAGGCTTCCATTTTCTCATGATCACTTATTTATGCTTCCCTCTTTGATAAGGTTGTTTGCTGCCACTGTAGATGGCTCAACTTCTGTCTTTTTCTTCATTAACTGTATTCTTTTGTCGCCTCTGGTATTATGTCATTTATTACCATTACAACACATTTAATGTAATCTGTTCTTATGCTTTTCCTCTCGCTTCAGTTATAATCATTCGTGTTGTTATGGGACAGGAAGCCTGTACTGGTACTTAGGCTTATTAAGGTCCCACTACCTGGGCCAACTGACATTTCCAGTATGCACCCACAACAAATGCCGTACTCCTGGATACCTATATATGCCTGAGGATTGAATCCAGGTCTCCCTTGATTGTGACCCAACATCTTAGACCACTGAATCTTGCTCTTTGCAGTCTAGTTATCTTATATCTCTCATTAATTCCATTTTCCTTTAGTTCTCTATGAATTTAGCCACATTTGAGACCATGACATACTCTTTGCCAATTACAGTACATTAACAAACTTCTGCAAATGACCATCTCTATTTTGTAAAACTTCTTGAACTTCAGTCCTCCATCAGCACCCTGGGCATAAGTCAAATCTGACTTGTCTTGAAACCTCACATGTCAACAGTTGCCAAAGAATTTTTCCCAAAAAGATGGGCATCCATTTTTTTCCAAATCTATTTAATTTTTACTTTAGTCACTCAGCTCTGCAGTAGTTTTATTCATTCTAGTCTTGAATACTCTCACATCTCATATGTCTTCCCTTCCACCAGAATTTGTGACTCAATTCACTGGAAACCTGTATTTCAGTTCACACTGATTTTGTATATAAGCTTAAGTCATTGGCTGCCTCCTCCTACAAAGTTGCTTGTTCCGCTATTCCTTTTGTGGCTCTACATCAATAACTGGCAAATTGTCCACTCAGTCTTCAAGTATACTTTCCCAATACTTGAACATCATCTTCTCCAAGGATTGAACACTTTGCTGCCTCTTTTCTGTGGAGAGCTCTCTGGTGCCCCTGAGCTATACCGGGCAGGTGTGTATATATTAGACCATGGCAACAGTCAATCGATGGAGTTCTTAGCCTACTGGAGACCACGAGCCAGAACTTGGCTCCCTCAGAAAGGCACGAGGAGGTCTATAGACACCCCTATGTAGATGGAAGCAATATATGTCTGTCATCTACTATGTCAGGCACCCAAAAAGGTGGGAATCCCAAAACAAGCTACAGCTGGTTAAAAATTGCAAACCGAAAGCTGAACAAGCAAGCAGAACGCCCCAATCAGAAAACAAGCAAACAAGCTACCACAAGCACCACAGCTACCGCACAGCTGTGCGTATGTGTGTGTATGTGTGTAATTACCTAAGTGTAGTTACAGGATGAGAGCTACGCTCGTGGTGTCCCGTCTTCCCAGCACTCTTTGTCATATAACGCTTTGAAACTACTGACGGTCTTGGCCTCCACCACCTTCTCACTTAACTTGTTCCAACCGTCTACCACTCTATTTGCGAAGGTGAATTTTCTTATATTTCTTCGGCATCTGTGTTTAGCTAGTTTAAATCTATGACCTCTTGTTCTTGAAGTTCCAGGTCTCAGGAAGTCTTCCCTGTCGATTTTATCAATTCCTGTTACTATTTTGTACGTAGTGATCATATCACCTCTCTTTCTTCTGTCTTCTAGTTTTGGCATATTTAATGCTTCTAACCTCTCCTCGTAGCTCTTGCCCTTCAGTTCTGGGAGCCACTTAGTAGCATGTCTTTGCACCTTTTCCAGTTTGTTGATGTGCTTCTTAAGATATGGGCACCACACAACAGCTGCATATTCTAGCTTTGGCCTAACAAAAGTCATGAACAATTTCTTTAGTATATCGCCATCCATGTATTTAAATGCAATTCTGAAGTTAGAAAGCATTGCATAGGCTCCTTGCACAATATTCTTTATGTGGTCCTCAGGTGATAGTTTTCTATCTAGAACCACTCCTAGATCTCTTTCTTTATCAGAATGTGTGTGTGTGTGTGTGTGTGTGACACACACACACACACACACACACACACTCAGGGTGTATGAGCTGGAGGAGGCAGAAGTCACACTGCAGCAAGCTCCTGGAAATATCGAATTACCTAAGTATTGGGCACAGGTTGAGGGCTACAGTGGTGTCCCAGGTTACATAAAGGTTCAGGGAAGAGTAAAAGCAAATAAAATACAATAAACAAGTAAAAGTGAGTGAAAATAGCCGAGTGGAAAAGTTTGTTTTGGTCTAGAACAAAATCAAAGATGGCCGCTGCCACCACCCCCACTGAGAATGTAGACACACCATCAAATGATGGTTTCAAAGGATTCTCACCACAAGATATAAGGAAAGGAGGTGTTCTTGGCAGGTTAGAGATAATTGAGGATTTGCAAAAGAAGTATGAAGAAAAAGTGCTTAAATTGGAAGAGGACAATGGAGCTCTTTGGAGTGAGCTCTGCACTCTAAAAGGGAGTATGCTTCAACAAGGTAAGATTATTACTGCATTAACAGACAAGGTAACAAATCAGGAGGAGCAAATCAAGGAACTAGTGAAAGAAAATGAGGCATGGAAAGTGAAGTGTGGTGACTTTGAAGAAATAAACAAGAAAATAGACTCATATGGTGAACAACTCCAAGCAAGCCTAAGGGCTAACATAGAATTAGGTAAGGATCTCCAACTGGAAACTTCACTGACAACTCACATAGAGGAGGTGAATAAAGAACTAGAAAAGTATAAAGAAGAAATAAAAGCGACATATGCTGAAGTTGTAAAAGAGAAAGAGACTATCAAAGAAGTGTGTTCGGAAGTCAAAACCAGAAATGACCAACAAGAAGCAGAAATTAGGCAAGCAATTAGGAAAGAACTGGTTACCAACAGTAAACTGGTACAAAACACTGCAGATAGAACTAAGTCCATAATCATTTTTGGATGTTTAGAGAAGGAAATTTCATCTAGGGTGGACCGAGCGGCAGAAGAGATGAAAATCATAGAGAAAATAGTAGGTTTAGGAGAAGGCTCAAAGGAAAATGTCAGTGATTTTAGAAGAATAGGAAAATATGAGAAAGAAAAGAACCGCCCCTTGAGGGTGACGTTTAATGGAGTGAAAAACATGATGGAAGTGCTAAGAAATGCCAGGAAACTGCAGAGTGATGAGGTTGGCAAATTTTGGTCAATAAGACAAGACCTCTCCAAGGAAGACAGAGAAAAGCTGAAAATGAACCTAATTGAGGCAAAACGTCTAAATGGGGATAGAAATGAAGAAGACAGAAATTTTTTTTTTACAAAGTGACAGGGACTGGAAAGCTTGTGAAATGGTACATAAAAACAAAGCAACAAGATCAGTAGTGGAAGGGGGAGTAAAGAGCAAAGGAAAAGGGAACATGTTCCTGAAAATTGTATATACCAACATAGATGGAGTGAGGTCAAAAACTTTGGAGTTGCAAGATATAATCCAGCTTAGGGTCCCAGATATTGTTGCATTATCAGAGACGAAACTTGAAGGAAATATAATAAATGAAGTCATATTCCCAAGAGGCTACTCAGTTTGGAGACGTGACAGGAAAACTAGGAAGGGAGGAGGAGTGGCTGTACTGGTGAAAAAACACCTGAAGGTAAAAGAGTTAATATTTGAAAACCCTCGAGATATTGACATAATGGCATTGCAGGTCTGGAATCAGGATGATAAGCTGATAATTGTAAATACCTACAGCCCACCAGCAAGCAACACTTGGACAAAGGAAGAACTGGATGACAAACGAGAGGGCCTCATAATGGTCATGAGAGATATTATTGTACAAGCAGATAAAGATAAATCACGACTGTTGATACTGGGGGACTTCAACTTTAGAGCAATAGACTGGGAGGCCTATGAAGCAAGAACGGAGGACTTTTGGACATGCAGATTTGTGAACCTCATTCTGGAGACATTCTTGTATCAACACATAAAGCAAGCCACAAGAATGAGGGAAGGAGATGTACCGTCAGTACTGGATCTAGTATTCACCAGGAAAGAAGAAGAGACTTTTGACATCCAGTACCTTCCTCCCTTGGGAAAGAGTGAACACGTCCTGTTAGACATTAAATATGCTGTAATATATCATCTAGAAGAAAATGGGGACATTGAAACAGTTGATAAACTCGATTTAAGGAGAGGCAACTATGGGGAACTTCGAAATTTTTTTAATGAGTGTAATTGGACAGAATTGTTGCTAGGTAGGGAAGTAAATGAAATGTATGCCAAATTTTTAAAACTATACGAGGAAGGCACACAAACATTCATACCAAAACAGAGATGCAGGGCCAGAAAACAGGATTGGTTCGACAGAAATTGTGAGAGGGCAAGAGACCAAAAGACACAAAAATGGAATCAGTATAGGAAGAGGCCAAACCCCCAAACATACCAGCGATACAAAGATGCGAGAAACAACTATACAGCAGTAAGGAGAGAGGCAGAAAGAAATTTTGAAAAAGGGATAGCAGATAAATGTAAAACAGAACCGGGCCTATTCTTCAAATTCATAAACAAAAAATTGCAGGTAAAGGATAATATCCAGA